GGAATGAGATGAGAAGAGAATGTACATGGAGAAAAGGAGAAAGGCAGGACACATAGGTCCTATTTTAATAAATTACAACAATGCATACCCAAAAAATTTTAAAACATTCACCATAGGTCTTAGGCTCATGTACCGGGCACCATGTAATATACAAACAAGTACATAGCATACATTTCAAAACAATCAATTTTTGAATTAGGTGGGTTAATACTTAATTACCCTTTTAAATGTGTAGAACGATTATTGGCTTTATAGGTTATTAAAAAAAGCTGCAGTTCGGTCCCTTCACGAAAAACACAAGATTGGGGCAGCAGCTACGTCACCGCGACAAAGTTTTTATCTTCGACGCGGTGAATGATTCCAAGGAGTACGTCGCCGTGGCGAAGATAAAGCTTCAGCGCGACGAAACCTGGAAATCCCCAATATGCACAGTTTGCCTTTTTGCAGTTTCTGTGTAATGACACGAATCCAAATCAAATCAAACGCACACACGTTCAACCAGGATATCAACCAACCAATATAACATCCATCAATTATTAGTCAATTTATCATTTGAATCATTCATCCAAAAGCAGATTTTTCAGATTTTGCAAATTTATCGAGAATAACATGTTATCATTCAAATATATGTTATTAATCATACAATAAACTGTAAAAATTTGATACCCATGGCTCTGATACCACTGTTAGGAAACGACCCAGTTTTGCAGCAGAAAACAAAATTAACATAATCAACGTGGATCATTCTTTAGAACCAAGATCTGGGTACAAATTTACAGTTTATACAATATATATTAAATCTGCAGAAAAATCAGTTCAAGGTTTGAGAAATCATACGCACGTTTGGAGGCTCCTCCAAGTTGTCTCTGAACGTATTTGCTACCGACCCAAGTGTAGGATCGAATCGATGTAGTCCACACGAAGATAATCGCAAGGAACTAAAGAGAGATTTGCTAGATCCTCTTTAGCCTTAAGAACAAAGAAGAAAAATCAAAGAAAAACTTTGATTCTTAGCTAAACCAAAATCTGGCGTGGGAGAGTTAACAAAGGGGCCGTAGTTTTTCTCTTTTCACTGAAAAGAATGAATGAATAATATCTCTCACAAACTTTCAATTAAACTTATTCTTTTATAGTCAAGTTTAATTGCCCTATTCCCTTATGGAATGGGCTTGGGCTCCAACCCAAACAGCCCTTGTTTCCAAACACTCCCATTTGGATATTTTAATTTTAGTTTATCATTATCTCAATTAAAATCAATTAATATATATATTTAATATATTAACATTTAACAATAATGATAATTTATTTAAATATATGCGAACACATGTTTAAACGTAATCTCACTTATTTAATTTTTCTAATAAATTAAATAAAGGCTACGACCCCAACAAATTTAATTGCACTGTGAAATTACCAAAATACCTTTTCTCCTAAAAAGACGAAAACGCCATTCTTTCTTCCCGGCTCTTAAATTATCTTCTATGTGTGTGACCCATATGCTCCTCATCATACCGGTAGTGTATGGTATCGCGATTAACACAAATTAATCATCTCACTATACACAGACCAAGATTGGCCCCTAGCAAGGCATCATGGCCACTCGATAGATTCAGATTCAGCAATGTAGCTACCTGTCAACGATATGGTTACCGTATAATTCGATCCTTTCATCATCCGTTATCTTGACAAGACCGAGGCATAGAAGTAATGTCAACCTTCGGTTACCCTCGATATTGTGTATTCAATTACTAGACCAATGACCTGTATTATAAACTAGATAGAGCAACAACTCAATCCCACTGTGGCCAAAGTTTTAGTGTCATTGCCATTTACTGAATTGCGCCGTGAGATAACTTCTCCCGTACTCGAGAGTGATGAATCCTCTGTCTATCTACCATAGTCTTGATACACTCCTTGATATAGCCAATCACCACCGTATTGATAGCTCTGAATAGAACTGCGTTAGGCTAGTGTCAAACTACACCAATCGGTGCACAAGACACTCTGGTGATCTCAAGTCTAAGGATCACACGCACCACCATTCGTTAGAGGATTTGTTCCATAGACACTAGGGTTACCATCCATATGGAATCCTTTGGTGGGTTAGTCCAATAAACTTGCTGCGGTAAACTTGCCTACAACAAGCACCCATGTGTTGCACCAGGTTGTCACCAAACAACCTTGACAAGTGAGATCAGTCACTGCCTTTCGACAGGGTCGTTCAACACTATGATAGCCTTACCGTATTATCTGTGCCCTTACTTCAGAATAATACTGGGGCTACGGACGTTTCTATAATGGCCACTATATGTGCTCATAAGGTTCTCACTATCAAGATTTGAAACACTTGATACCCTCGTCACGGTTCTACCATTCTAAGGACATATATCAATACATACAATGATGATTTACGTGATATAGTATAAAATTCCGTTTATTGATCAATGAACATTATTACAAAGAGTCAATTCTACAATAATTGATTGGCTCTAAGGCATCTACTCTAACATTTTGTTTGCATTAACTTACAATGTTATAGCAATGATGGATGATCATGGGAATGAGGTTTTACACTTCCTTTAACATGTTAAAGACTATTAAGGGGAGGTTTAATTGATCCATAAGTTGACATATTTGTTAATTGTCAATAGAAGTTGATATGGCATGGTTTAATAAGAAAAATTCAGAGTTGGCAATTTTAGGGGTTATGTTAAACATGCTTCAGTATTTTGACCATAACTTGAGTTATAAAAATTTAAATGAGATGATTCTTAGAGCATTAGAAATTTAAAACATAGCCCTTTAACTTTTATGTTTATGCTAAGAGCCAATTCGTTTGAGAAATGGATGGAAAATGGCCTGAAGTATAAACTTTTGGTTATTAAAGTTTAAGATTTAACATGATTAATTCTTATGATTATTAATGTATTGTTGTAATTAAGCCATGTACTAATGTTTACCCATTACTTAGATGATCTTTGAAATATATACATGGTCATGGATGCGAACTCATGATTAATGTTATGAAATGGCATGAAGATGCCATGTAATATATGTTTCAAGATGATGAATGTGAGCAAGAGGTAATGTAAATGGATTGATAATCCATAGATGAATCAAAAGTATTAAGCTCACTAAAACATGTATTTACATGCCATAAAATTTTAGAGATGAATATATGCTTTAATGCTAGATAACGCGTAAGCACGCCTCCCGATGATATGAGCTCTAGATGACTTTGAGGCTAGATGAGAGGAAAGGTGAATATATCTTTAGATGCTAATTAACGCATAAGCACATCCTCGTATTCCGGTTGAGAAAAGATGAATATATGCTTTAGATGCTAGATAATGCGTAAGCATGCCTCCTGATGATATGAGCTCTAGATGAATTTGAGGCTAGATGAAACGAAAGATGAATATATGCTTTAGATGATAAATAACGCATAAGCATGCCTCCCGATGATATGAGCTCTAGATAAATTTGAGGCTAGATGGTATGAAGTGCTTAAGACGCTAAGAAAAGTCCGATTGGCTAGACGTTAAATGATTCATATGTGTTTAGTTGCATTACATGAGTTATGATGTTATTTACGTCATGAGATGATTTGTACTCATGTTAGATGATATTTAGATGTTATGTCATGACATGTGATGTGTGTGCACTATGTCTACATACTTATTTGTATGTGTACACTTGATGTTTTATATGACCATGGGGAAGATGATGAAAAGTATATGGGTTAGTAAAGAAAAGGAACCATACTTAGATGCAAAAGAGGTGTGGTATGCGAATGAATGTGTTTGAATGAATGTCAAATAACATACTTGATATTAAATGAATCATTCCTTACTGAGCGATTAGCGCTCACCCTTTCATGGTTGATTGTTTTATAGGTAATCTAGAAGCGAAAGATGTTGGAGACAGCAAGGCTATGCGAGAGGGAAGATAATTTATTGTCATCCGGACGTTTTATCTTAAAAAAATGTAAATGACAAATGTTTTTGAAACACCTTTTTAAAGCTTCCACCATATGAATGAAAATGGCACTAATATGTTTTGATTGATTGATGCCCAAATGAATTCAAGTTTTTATTCTTATTTTATTTTTGAATGTACAAATTTTGATCCTGCGGTACATCTTATAGTAATGTTTTGGACATTATTATTATTCTTGCATAGGTTTTCTAAATACAACTCGTTCCCCAGATATGAATTGAGCAGAGTCTCATTAAGGGATATTTAGAGGATACTTGACTGGGGAGGGGTTTTACATTTAAGAGTTGTCCGGATCAGATAATCAGGATTAGCAGCGTATATTGCAGCATAGTTATGAACTACATTGTGGAGGGCATTTCGGGGGAAAGAAGACAACAGCAAAGGTATTGCAATCTGGTTTTTATTGGCCAACTTTGTTTAAAGATGCGTTTACTTTTTGTGCTAGATGCCAACAAATTGGAAACATTGGCAAGAGGAACAAGATGCCACTTACGTCATTCATAGTGGTGGAATTATTTGACGTCTGGGGTATAGATTTCATGGGTCCATTTCCTAACTCTTATGGTTATACGTACATGCTTGTTGTTGTAAATTACGTGTCTAAATGGATTGAGGCAATCACCACAAAAACTAATGATGATAAAAATGTACTTAGTTTCCTTAAAGATTTGATTTTCCCAGGGTATGGTACCCCTAGAACTATTATTAGTGACGGGGGGAGTCATTTTGTAATAAGTCTTTTGCAGATTTATTGAAGAAGTACAATGTCACTCAGAAAGTGGCCACCCCATATCACCCTCAAACTTCAAGGCAAGTAGAGGTGAGTAATAGGCAAATCAAAGAGATTTTGGATAAGACAGTGAACACATCTAGAAAGGATTGGGCGTTAAAGTTGAATGATGCTCTATGGGGCATATAGGCTAGTTTTTGGAAAGGCATGCCACTTACTCATGGAATTAGAGCATCGAGCTTATTAAGCCATTAAACGGTTAAATTTCAACATGGACAAAGCCAGAGAGGCAAGGAAAATGCAAGTAAATGAGTTCGAAGAGCTTAGGAATGAAGCGTATGAAAATGTGAAGATTTACAAAGAACGAATGAAGCTCTATCATGATAAAGCAATACAACGCAAGGAATTTCGTCCAGGTATGAAAGTTTTGCTTTACGACTCACATTTGCGACTTTTCCAGGAAAGCTGAAGTCACGATGGATGGGACCATATAAAGTGCCCGAAGTGTTTCCTCATGGTGCAGTGAAAGTTCAAAACCTAAAGACAGGGAGTAATATCAAGGTTAATGGGCATTGGTTGAAACCATACTTGGAAGATTTCCTTTCAAAACAAGTGGTGGAATACCTCGACGATGTGAAGTAAAAGACCATGCACTCCGTCTTGCATAGACGTTAAATAAAACGCTTACTGGGAGGCAACCCAAGTTTTTTTTATTTATTACTTTTACTTTTACATTATTCTTGTTTATGTGTTAGTTTTAATTTTTTTCTATTTTTTAGGAATAGCTGTTTTGCGCCATGACCTAGATTTTTCATGCTAAGGTGCAAAAAGGGACCACAAGGTAGAAACTTCATGCTGGGGCATGGCATTTTTTCACGTCCCAGCTCGAAAAAGGGAGAATCCGATCACGAATCCACGCCGCGACACAAAAATGCCTTCCAAGACAGAAACTTAATGCTGCTGCGTGACAATTTTTCGTTTTGCAGTGTGATCCCCCTCCATAACACAAGCGCCGTGGAGCGAATCAGGTTATATAAAAAAAGAAAAAAACCTAGATTTTTCTTTTCTCCTCAGCCATTCTTTCAAGCCGTAGCACCATTCCACACTCTCCTCTCCAATCAATTTTTTTTTTTTTTTTTCGCTTTTTACTCTAGAATCTACTCCATTCACCACATCTTATCCCTTCCCACATAACCAAAACACTTACCTTCCTTATATTTTGCAGGATGATATCGAATTGAAGAAGAAGAGGTTAGGGTTTGTGATTTCAGGTTTTTCAATTGGAGAAATTTTCTTCAATCTAAAGCTTCAGACTCATTCTTGGTACCTTGGTAAGCCCTTTTCATTCATAATTGAAGCATAAATTGTGCATGTTTATGCAGATTGGGCACTTGGGACACTTTACACCGAATGCTTTGATAAATTGTCTTATGGATTGTGTTGGGCGACTAATTGCGATTGTTTGTGGCTAGTTTCAAGTGAAATTGTAAATTTTTGAATGAATTAGTGTATTCTACTTGTGTGATGCCAGCTGCCTTGATTGGAATTGAAGTGTATTTGGGTTCATTTAAGTGTGTGGGCGTGAGTGTGTGTGTGGTGCAGTGGGGTACTGATTGAATTGTGGTGTAGTGTTGGGTGTTTGATTGGGGTTAATTTGAGTGGAACTTTCAAGAGTTTCCATGTGTATTGTGCATTGTGTGAGTGTGCAACTGTGGCAGGTTGTAACGCCCACATTGAGGTATATAACTTAACTTATGCCCTTATGCCCTTAGTTGAATTTTGTTAAAGTTATTTTGAGAAAAATGTGAAGAAAATCCCTTAAATTTTCATTAGGGGTAAAATGGTCTTTTCACTCAAAATTAGTTGAAAAATTGCGGAGTGAAAAGAGATAGAAGTTCATGGAGAATGCAATAAAAATGAGGGCATTATTGTAATTGACTAAGGGACATAGATGGAATTTCATAGAAAGTGCAAGGGCAAAATGGGAAACTACATATATATATATATATAATAAGAGTTCAAGAGGAGAAACCCTAGCCACTCTATCCCTCCATTCATGCCATTCTCTACTCAAATTCTCTCAAATTTCTTCACTAGATTTCCAAGGAAATTCATAGATTTTTGGTATTTTTGAGTGGATTTTCAATCCTAAGCATCCAAAGGTAAGATTCTAGCATCAAGATATGAGATTAAATTTTAAAGTTTTGAATTCTTATGGTTTTATATGCTTAGGGTTTAAGAGGAAAGGGAATTCTATCAAAGAGAGATTATAGTGTTGGAGTTGCTCAAATTCAAGGTAAGTAAATCCTACCCTAAGTATGATTTAAGTTAAGATGTGTAGAGAATTTTCTTTATGCATATACATGTGTTATAAGTAGAATTGTTGATGGATTTGGTGTTGAATGATGATTAGAACCTATCCATGAGAGTTTGTGTTGGTGTAGTTGATGCTTGATGCATGTTTGGATGAAATTTGGAAGAATTGAAGTGGAAATTTTGGAGTGTGCATTTTGGGCAGATTTGGTGTTAAATATGGAGGGATTTATTCCCAATTTTTGGTGGCTTAGAAAAGAGATAGAAGTGTAGCCAAATTAGAGTTTGAGTATGCATGCAATTTGTTTGATGAAAATCTTAAGAGAAAACATGTTACCATGGCTGCCCTGTCACGTCTGTGACCTTTTGAGTGATTTTTGGATATCTTACAAATTGAACTGGGTTGAGACTTCAACATAAAAGTTGTAGCCCTGTCTCTAAGCTTTAAAACGAGACCAAGACCATAGCAATCTGATATGTATAACTCAAGTTATGCCTTCTTGAATATGACATGTGCAGAATGACTACCTCAAAAATGCTTCCAATTTATTAGTTTATTTTTTTCAAGTATGGGAATGTTGTTGGACATATTTGAATTATGAGAAGTGCTTTTGATTGTATGATGATGGGTTGAAGTTTGATTGAAGTTGAAAGAAGTTTGAGTAAACTTTTGGGAGTGTTTTTCCTTGACAGGTTTTGTGATGATACAAGGGAGCTTTACTCCCATTTTGGATGGTTAAAGAAAGAAGAAGAGTTATAGCTAAAGTAGAATTTATGTTTGCACATTTATTGTTTGATGAAATGCCCAAGAGAAGCATGAGTATGAGTAGAGAACCTTAATTTCATGCAACATTGCATATTTGCATTTCATGAGTGCATCTAAGAAAGAATTATAAGCATGAGCCATCCACATACATTTATTTGCATGTGTGCAATAACTTAAGATAGAATAAAGAATTTTAAAGAATAAAGCACTCTAAGAGTAAAGAGAAAGAAAGAAAAAGCACTAGAGAATAAAAGAAAGAAAAGTGTTAAAGAAGAGAAAAGAATAGGTTGTTGCGATGTGGAACCCATGAGTGACAGAGAAGAATAGTCCCACATACACGCTGCCTTCAGTGAGCGGCCTTAGAATCAGAAAGAAGTAAGTGTACAGTTCGTTAGAAGTGTATGTGGATGAGAAATGTACCAACAAAATTTACTTACATGCACGCCGCCTTTAGTGAGCAGCCTCAGAATCAGAAAGAATAGTTGTACAGTCCGATAGAAGTGCATGTAGATGAGGATTGTACTCACTCACATGGCCAGGGTTCCGAATCCATGCCTCAACCGAGTCTGATCGGCATAGAAAGAAAGAAAGAATAGAACACAGAAAGAAAGAACAGAACAGAAAGAAAGAAAGAATAGAACACAGAAAGAAAGAATAGAACAGAACGAAAGAAAGGATAGAACACAGAAAGAAAGAACAGAACAGAAAGAAAGAAAGAACAGAACAGAAAAAAAAAAAAAAAAAGAATAGAACACAGAAAGAAAGAACATAATAGAAAGAAAGAAGAGAAACAGAAAACAGAAAAGAAATTGCATTCTTTATGCATTTATGCACATGCATCATGGCATTCATATTATTCAGAATTAGTTTCTCCAATTATGCTTACATGTTAGTAAGTGAGAAAAAGAATAGAGAAAGAACAGAAAGATAGAACAGAAAAAGAATAGAGAAAGAACAGAGAGAAATAATAGAAAAGAACAGAGAAGAAGAGAGAAGTGTGATGTAAGGAAAGAATTCAGAATATGAGCAACGGAGATAGAAGGGTAGCATAACGGGTTTACTTACTGAGCCATTAGTGCTCACGCCGTTGTTTTCAATGTTTTTTGCAGATAGTAGATGAGATGTGGTTGCTTGGAATGTCAAGATGCGGAAGGGTCGGGCAACATTGTTGAGCTTCTTGAGAAATTTATTTACACTATGTATAGTTATGTATATATAAAGAAAATTTGGGCCCATTATTTTATACTCGTCCACATGTATATTTTCGTAATATATATATTTAGTTAATTTTACTGTTTATTTTATGAGTATACTTGCTAGAGAGAGAGTCATTACACGGGTGGTGTAGGCTTGTTTGTGTATTGTGTTGGTTAGTTTGTGTTAGGCTGAATAGGTGAAGAGTGTTGTTGATTGAAGCTCTCAAAGTGTGTGAGATGGCACCTACCAAGAGACCTAGAAACAACCCCATGTTCGAGTTATGTGCGCTTTGTAAGTCCTGCAGCAGAGAAAAGTTATATTGAGACCGTGACTGGTAGTCGCAGGTTTGTAGACAAAAAGGGGTTTGATTTTGAGAATGAGGAGCCAAGGGTTACTAATGTCATTAGAGAGATGAAATGGGAGAAATTATGTTCTCATCCTGAGCCTGCCGTTGAACGTTTGGTAATGGAAAGACGGGAAGATTAGGATTAGAGGAATGGAGGTTTGCTTTTATATAGCAACAATTAATCGATTTTATGGCCTCCACGATATTCTAGTGGCAGAGGATGAATTAAATACATTCTTCAAGGACCCAGATTATGGATTTGTTTTGCAGAATTTAAGCACTAGTCAAGGTGAATGGAAAGTGTCTAAGGACAATTACAAAGGCATTCTAGCAAAATTCTTGACACCCCTACATTGATTGTGGTAGTATTTTGTGTGTGCCTCGATTTTCCCCATTGTTCATCACAGCATAGTAGACACAGAAAGGGCACTATTGCTTTATGGTATTGGTCAGCGGATACGGGTAGATGTGGGCAATCTTATTTATTATCGGATTCTACACGCAACAAGAAACCCATCAGTGTCCTACTTGTTCCCTAATTTGATCACTGCCTTATGTAAGTAAGTTGGAGTGCCAATAGAGNGTTCATACTAAGTAGGTAAGCCTTGTTCATCCTAATTTGCAGTGTTTGTTTGCACATATTACCGAAAAAAATGAATTGGAGTGCATTAGGAACTGAAATATGTGTGAATAGTACAGTAGATTGAGTTGGTGTTGTGATTGTGTTTGATGGCATTATGCTTGGGTGATTGAGATTATGGGTAATGTTGGGTGAGTGTTGAGGTTGTTTTGATATCAGATTTGATTGACATTGTCAAGTAGAGTGCATGGTGGGAGTGTGTGTGCAGTGTTGAAGAAAAATTAAGGTGTCTTTGTTGGATTATTTAGTGTTGTATTGTGTGGTGTGCTATAGCTGATATTGGTTGTAGTGTTAGTCTTGTGGTTGTGCAGTGAAAGTGTGCATAAGGCTGAATTTGCGTAGAGTGTTGTTGACTGCAACTCTCCTTGTGTTGTGAGATG